CAAATCATCCATCATCAAATTAAAATAGATGCTGTGTCTTCTCAACTCTTTGAGCTATTTTAACAAATCTTGAAATGTCATCACCTGAGTAGTTTGGACACTACAGTATGTATGTGGGTAGAAAGATAATAATTTTTGAATACTTTTACCTAAATTATGAGCTTGAGCTTTTTAGAATCATTGAGCCACACAATAATGGGTATTATTTTATAGTTTAATAATGCTTAAACCTTAATAAGTTCTGTAATGTCGGTCATCTGATATTGAGAATTTTGTTGTAACAATGCTGTACTTACCAACACTGACTTTAACCTTGTGGTAAAAAAAAAAAAAAAAAAAAAATCATGTAATATAATTACATGTTAAGATTACTTTGTTCATAATGCATGCGTGTCGCCTTTATCAACTTTATTCCTTTCTATATACGACAATTCACCATGACGTCACAACAATAACAGGCGCTCTTCCGGGTGGCAAAAGCTGAAGCGTTCCTAATGGCAACGCTAGTAATTTGCTTGGGAGACCCACCATCGGCAGTAGCCTAATCTATATTTCAACAGGTAAGTTGATTCAAAAACAGACGTGGTGGAAATTCAGATATAGTTAACATGATAATTGAGGGACTGATTAACTAATTAAGGAGATGGCAATAAATGAAATGCCTAAACTTGGTCATAGTAGTAGATGTAGCGCTAGTCTACCGTTACCATAATTTTTAAATGAGCTTCAGCCTAAGTTACCATTTGTTATTTATTTTAGTGACTGTGTTGTTGTTTGACGTACAATATGTTAGGCTATGGTAACGTTAGATGGTGTATTTCCCTGTTATCTGACTTAAAAGGCTATGGTTTTTTGTTTCTTTAATCGGAAAGTGAATTCACTTTTGAAAGTGAAATGGATAGTGCGCTCTGTGCTGCAGTCTAGCGCTACTCAGTTAACGTTAGGTATTCACTAAAACTAAACTGGCGGTGATGATGAAAACAATGTGATACACACATCAATCATCTATCAGCAGTAGCCTACAACTATGTTTTGCTTTTCCTATTTCTTCCATTGACATTTGATCAGTAGCCTACAAGACACTAGAAGTTCTGTCTCTTCCTTGTATTAATATTTTTTTAAGGCAGTGACTGGCAATGAGTCTGATCTTCAAAAGAGACCTTAAGTTTACTAATATTAGTCTCGAGTTTCCCTAGCTGAAGATAATTATGCTCTGCTATGATTTTGTAGATGGACAGTTTTCTACTTGTTTTTAACATTTTAAAGGAGTCTTAATATCTGAATGGAAATTCAGTCAACACTCAAAATTCAAGTAATTTAATATTCAAATATAGCTGCAAGCAGTCATTATCGGGGTTATTATATAATAAAAAAAAAACATAGACAGTCATTAATAATATTATTTAATGGTTTGATATTTTTGACCAGTGGGTGGCGCAGTTACGAAATTGAGGTGTGGTCAGAGTGAGGAGACAAAGACAAATACAAAGTTTACTGTCAATATGTTAAGGCATTGCTGAGATATAGCCTGAATAGTCATTTTGGCATCATACTTCAACTTTGCTGCTGAAAACAGTTCCATCTATAAATACAAAATCCATAACTTTTAGTCGGCACAGTCAGGAGATGATACGATTCGATTAAAACTGTTTAATATTTTTTTATTGTTTGTTCAACCGTTTTAACAGTTTTGAGAATACATGGAAGCAGAGTTGAAGAGCAAGCAGGGTTGGCAGCAGAAAGGTAAACGTTGGATGAATCATAATTTAGGAGATCATTAAAATTTCCTCTTAGCAGTTTTAATATTGGTTGTTTACACATTCTTCCCATCACTCTGCAATTTAACAGAACCACTTTGTTTTGAACACTAGGGACCTGACAGAGTAAAGCAGAATAGAGAAGTGTGTCAATGAGAGGGAGCCCAAAGACAGGCAGGACTCGAGTATCCAGTCCAGAAAGATAGAAGTCCAGACAGATAAAAGGCAGGCAGTTGCTTTCAGAGACAGACTGAGGGAGAGACAGAAAGTTCAGATGAAATATGTCTAATCTTTCTGCATGTTCTTCAGTTGGACAAATCTGATTCCAATAGGTACATTAATAAACTGAAGCTCTCGTTTGAAGATCAGATTCTGTCTTTGCCAGATCCATACAATCTAGATGATGGCTGGTATGCTGCTGATGCTAATAAATTGCCCCCGGTTCAGTATCTTGACCTTTAACTACCTGATCAACACTCCAGGCCCTTGTACAGGTGAGGCTTTGCGAGCGTATAAGTCACTAGAGGCTTATAACTATTTTGTTTGTGATCATTTCCAAAACATCAAGCAGCATGATCTATCAGAAACAAGTCCCGTTGCTTTTGTCACTGCCACAGTGGCGCCAGGACAGCGGATTAAAGAAGAAAAATACAAACCATGGGTTTGTGTTAGTAGAAATGGCTGTATTGTTGCAACCCACTGCACTTGTGCCGCAGGTTTAGGAGAGGCCTGCAGCCACATTGCTGCTCTACTGTTTGCCATTGAAAGCATTACACAAAGCAGAGACAGAACTGAAGTGTCATGTACTGATATATCCCATGTCAATGGAAGAAATGTGAAAAGCAAAACATAGCTAGCTGTACTGCTGAAAATCTTGACATGTCACATCCAAAGCATGGTAAGGTATTGAACAGCAACAGGGACAGCAGTGACACTGACACAGCTTCAGAATCAGAGGATGCTGTAGACTATCCACAACTCCCATACAGATTAGCAAGACTAATTAATGTTAACAATTGCTCTCCACAGACTATAATGGATGATGCCATTCCCACCAAGGCACAGATTGAGAATCTGTCTCAAGCAACTGTTGCTCAATCCCAGTCACATCTTTGGAGTGCCCAGAGAAGAGGAAGAGTGACTGCCAGCAACATCCATAGGGTCATTAAATGCAAAGCAGATGGAGCTTCAGCTGTAAGGACCATCATGCAGTATGATACCAAAAACATCTCCCACATCTCCTCAGTAAAATGGGGTACTGAACACGAAGACACTGCAAGAGATAAGTTTTATCGGCACATGACAACAGTACACACAAACTTTGTTTTAAAAACGCACAGGCCTTGTCATCTACCAGCCTTACCCATTCCTTGCAGCATCACCTGATGGGATCTCAACATGTGACTGTCATGGAGATGCAGTTCTGGAAATTAAATGCCCTTTCAAATACAAGGACTTGTGCTCTATTGAGATCCTACAAATCCAAGATCCAACTTTTTGTTTAGATACCCATGGTAATCTAAAGAAGTCACACCAGTATTCTGATCAGGTACAAACACAAATGCTAGTTACCAACTGTACCCAGTGCAATTTTGTTATTTGGACAAAGCATGGCCTTATCATCGTCAATGTGTCTCGAGATGAAGATCATATCACTAATGTGTTGCACCAAACTAAAGTGTTTGTTGAAACACACCTTATCCCAGAACTCCTTAATAAAAAAATGGAAACAACTCAGGATGATGCAGTCATTTGCACTTGCAGAAGACCCAAGTTTGGAAGGACCATAATATGCTCTAATGAAAACTGCAGTGTGAAAATGTACCACTACAGTTGTGTAGGCATCAAAAGAAAGACAAAACAGTGGCTGTGTGGCAAATGTAGATAATGTAGACATTAATATATACATGACTAACACTTTAACTACTTCAATTTCATTTTTTTTTTCAATTCAATGTAAATCTTATTTAGTTTATTTGATCTATTGTTGCCTCATTCTCATCTAGTAAATATTGTAATTGTTTTTATTGTGCTTTCATTTAATGTTTTAAATAGAAAGTAGACTGTTAGCTCAACTTGTGCTGAAAAGAAAAAAAAGTGACAACACTTACCAAATAAATATTTATTGATGTTGCAAAAATCTTTGTGTACCTTTATGCTCCACGAATGAATAATACCTTATTAGTTATGTTAGGATATGTGCTGTTTATTCAGTTGTGGATGAGGCTAGTTCTATAGGTACAGCATTAAGGGGGGTAGAACATGACAATGAAACCAAGTATACAAAGGTAATGGACATTTCTTAAAGATGTAAATACATATTTATATTAAAATACAAAAAAGTAAATAATAACAATAAGATGAATACATTAATAACTACATTTATTTATTTATAAATAAATAAAACATTGCCTTGCATTTGGCAAGCACCCACTAATAATCCAAAAATCAATCCATGAAGTACACAACAAAAGTTAAGCAGCAAAAATATTTTCACAAGAGTAATCACAAGAGATTCTAGCTTAACAATTTGTTAAAAAGTGAGAGGAAAGCAATCGTAGTCCGGTAGCAGTATTATTTAATAAGTTTAGGTCTAAGATTACTTAGAGCACAACAGATGGTCAATATGTCACTGGAGAGAGGAATAAGGGTCAGAGGGAGCGTGTTTTTCAGAATTCTAAAGATCTTGATGCGTTCAATAGCTCGCTCCACATGAATACGCAATGCTGAAAGTTGGTGGGCCCTCTCAACATCACACCCAGGTAGCTGCTTTCTCCCCTTCAAGAATGGAGGCATGACCAGTGTGGCACCAAGCCTAGCCAGGTGATCACCTATCAGAAAACCTCTATCTGCCATGACCTGATTTCCTGGATTAATGTTACTGTAAAAGCCAGACTTACCACTAATCTCTTTATCTGATATCCTCCCTCCCCACATTTTGGAAATAAATGATATTGAGCCATAGGGCGTGATACCTATTAGAGCCTTAAGAGTGTTATGATGTTTATAATTTGACCAGGTCTGGGCTCTAGCCCTGAGATTGAATGACCTGTCAATGAAAAACTCTGTGCAGTCAATGATAGCTACGCAATTTTTAAACCTCTTCTTGAACTTCTGTGGCATGTTTTTCCGAAGAACCTCTGCATATGGCCAGGAGATTAAAAATTGGAGACGCTTTGCAAGGACAGGTATGACTTCGTTTATAACATTTGAAACACATGCAGAGGACACACCAAACTGGAAAGCAAGGTCTAAATGGGCAAGTCCGTGTCGGAGCTCCATCAAAGTTAAAAGAAGTTGATTCTCCTTGGAGATAACCCTTCTTTCTGAAATAAACGGTGCAATTAAGTTCAAAATCCAAATAAACACAGCAAAAGATGGCAGTCCAAAATAAAATGAAAAGAATTTCTGTTTGCGCTTAATTTGACTAGCTGCATCATTCTCTGTGTCAAATCAATTTTCTGAAGAGATGGACAATTTTGACAACTTGTCTTTGTAAGCGTCTCTCTCTAATCGCAACCTATGCGCCTCTTGCTGTAGCATTTCACACATTTGACATTGCCCTGCATTGTCTTGGTTGTCCCCTTCTTCTTCCTGGTTGTCTTCTATGTCAGTAACAATCGCTGGTGCTGGTGCTGGTTCTGGTTCTGTTTCTGATCCAGCTGCAGAATAAAGTTTTCTCCTCTTTACTGCTTGATTGTACCGACCCTGTGTATCTGCTGCTCTCTTAGCAGATGCGGTTGGATCGGCTGACTCAGGTCCAAGGTGTTGCGACCCAGATAGCAAACTGACATTGAATCAACGTGGAAATATGACATCGAAACAACATTGATCTGACATTGTTTTGCTCATCGAATTAACGTTGAACCAACGTCAGACGCGTCATTCTTTTAAAACTAACGGAAAATCAACTTGAAATCAACGCGTTGTTTCAACGTTATGAAAGCAAACCAATTTTCGATTTTCATTTAGCTTTGAAGAATGCCGCGTCTGACGTTGGTTCAACATTAATTCGATGAGCAAAATCAACGTTGTTTCAATGTCATGAGAGACGTCGTTTCCACGTTGATTCAATGTCAGTTTGCTGTCTGGGGAAGGAGCAAAGTCAGGGTGGTCGGGGTCAGGGTTCGGACAACCTGCATAATAAAAACATAAGGACATAGATCATTTAAGCATGTGCTCTTAAGTAACTATATTTTACCAAATGTTAACAACTTAAATTTTAGACACTGGAGAGTTCAAGTTAGGCCTAACAAGCTTTACAATGAACACTGCTGTTTGTTAGCCTGGGCCTAGACTTTAATTGTAGAAAAAAGGTCCCCTCTGTAATGTAGGCTAGCGTTATAACTTTAATTTAAATGTAGTAGGGCAGTTCACGTTTCATCCTTTAAAAAACTGCACATAACACAGTAGCTTCAGTAGAATAGCCGACTTAGAAAAAAGGGGGCACTTTTGTTCAGTAATAGCTTGCAGTCTTTTTTCAGTGTAAACAAACACTTTGACGATAAGTTAGTCGACGTTTAGATTGCTTGCACTACATTACATTAAAAAAGACTGCAAGCTTTCAGTATACAGCTCCCACATTTACACATTTAAATTCACCTTGTACTGTGTCAATTGGAAAGCATATCGATGGAGCTAAGTCAAGACGGTGACAGCTAGTTTTAAGCCATCAGCTGTGTTGCTGTGGATGTTTATTTACAGCTGGGCAAACGCCAAAACTGAGAGCTGACGTTAGCTAACAGGATAGCTATATGTTTTGCTAAATAAGTCAAAGACAACCAAACCAAACATTTTATACATTACCTGTGAGAAAATGTCTTCCACAAACTCGATGATGGATGTTTGGTTCCCAGTCTGCCCCGTTAGAAATGGCTAATCCGCCACCAATCAGTCTTGCCGTCTTGTCTGTAGCACTGTTACTTTTGACGACGTCCACTCGCTTTAACCTCCTCACCCACAGGTTCCGCTGGATAAATTTACTTTTTTTTGAAGGAAATCGATAAAACCCTACACCTTTTGCTTTATATCTGGCAGTGCAACCCCAAACACAACACATTTTTGTCATAGTTTCAACTTTTATCAACCTAAATGATCTTCACTATGTGACTGTTTACAGTTGCCGGCTGGATTTCTACCGTTGGTCAGTAGAAGCCTTTTGTTTACAAACATTCTGAAATGCCGTATTTCCCCCCTAGGAATTCTAAATTTTTTTTTCTTGACATTCCAAAAGTCTTTTGATCAATGACACTGAAAAAAACATGAAGTCCTCCACTGTGAGGGGTCACTCAATCTATTGGCACAGTTAATAGAGATTTCTCCTCTTTGATTATACTGATCCCAAGCATGCATGTTATTTAATTTCTGTTTAATCAGACAACTACTCTAAAGGGATTCCCATAACTGAATAGATTACATGACATTAAAAGGTATTTCAAGACTAAATGCATTTACATTTTAAGGCACCTTTTGCACCGAAAGACAAATTCCAAATGCATTTTGACAGATGTTGTTACCGCTTCTTATACAATTTTCTATTCAGATTCCAATGGTATGGCAACGTAGTTATGATAGCCATATATCATGGTATATTTTGCTTACTAATAAAGAGGGTCAACATTTAAAGTGATTAACATTAGAAAAACCTACATAGTTGCAACCTTTACCATTCCCATTCCAGCTCTCTGATCATGTCTGTGACTTTAAAATATCATAGGTTAGAGATATAATTGCTGACCAGAAACTTGTTAAAACATCATTACTGTGCAGATAGTCATTAATTTGCAGTGGAAGTGTAGTGAGAACTGCTTTACTTCACACCATTTTGTGTGCGTGTCTGTGAGGGTACAATGAAGAAATGAGAAAATTAAATTAATTTACTTTCAAGCAGCATTAATGGTTTCATGGGGTATGGATTAATAAACTATTAATTGTGAACTAATGTTATAAAAAAACTACTTACAATAAAAATGATTGTGGTGTGGTTGATTTGGTTGGGGTTAGAGATGTCTAGGGACATGTTCACTCCATCTCATTTCTGAACAGTTTTTGCTCCAGTGAAATTATGTAAGGTATAAATACAACTCAAGATCCACCATAAGATTGAAATCCTAAGTCTGACAATAGTTCTATTGAACTTTTGTTATTATAATTGTAATATTTTACATCAAAAGTAATAAAACACCATTTTCTGTGATATAAAAAAGTGATACATGGTATTCACTCAAAGTCTAAAGAGAAGTAATGTGCAATTTGTTCTAAAGGTAACATATCTGGGAAATGGTCAGCAGAATATGTGAAAACAGCCTTTGCCAATATGGTTGTCTATTTGCACTCAGTGTACATAGACACAGCCTTAAGTAAAGAAGGTCAATTTTGATTGCATGTTGACCTAAATGAAACATAGAGATGCTTGAATTCTGTGCCAAAAACATATATTTATATATTTTCTAAACATAACTTTGAGCTTCCACATGTAGTTGGTGTCGATCTGCTGGTTATTGAGCCTTCCTGTTGACACAGTTGTGACAGGGGTACATTCATTATCTTGCCTTGACTCACAGCTATCATCTTTATTGTGTGTGTTAGCGTATGTGTGTGAGGCACTGCATGCTCAGCCTCTCTGTTGCCAGGAAACTGAAGCCTGAGCCTGCAAGACACAGGGGGGAAGGGTAGAGAACACTGGTGGAACTGGTGGATTTTTTTTGTAACTACTGTACACACTGAAGAGGAAAATATGGTGAATCTCATGAAACATGTCATGTCATATGGTATTGTTCCCCCAAATTAGAAAATAAATGGTAACACTTTACAATACGGGTGCACTAATAAGCATTTATTCATGCTTAACTAATGCACAGATAATACTGAATTAATGTGTAACTAATGATTAGTTAAGCTATTCATTAATGATTACCACATTAGGAACTAATTAAGAGTCTGTAGGGTTAATGTATTTGTTCATACTTGAATTGTTATTAATTAAATATGTAATTGTGGATTAATTCTATAATAACTCATTTTTTTAACTAATAGTGTTAATTAATACGTTAATTACCAGAATGAGCCTTGTATTTCAACTTCCAGATAATATGACAGGTACACTAATATGCATTAATACATGATTAATTACGTCATTGTTAGTGCAAATTTATGTGCAAATTACTACAATTACTAAAAGACTAGTTAATAATGATGTGCCTCAACAAGTAAAGTCATGACACAATGAGACAATTGCAAATCATTAGCTAATGATTAATTAAAGCAGAGGTGTTGCCAAATAAACTGTTTTCAGAACAAGTCTATTGTAGGACTATTGAGATTTTTGCAACTAAAGCCTAGTTCACACTACATGATTTTAAAAATTGGGCTAAAATGTGCAGTTCATACTACATGACTTGCTCTCTGTAAAATCAGGAGTGTTCAGGTTTTGTCACGAAAAATCATGTGATAAAACGCATGCGCACCAATACCCAGCGAAGAAGATGAAGAAGGAGGAGGTGACGGGCGAGTTGTGACATGCATGCGAGGGAAGCTTAGCGTAACAGTCGCGACGTTGTCTTTCCAGAACTGTACCAGCTCGCTGAGCAGCGGAGGCTCAAAGCAAGGTGAACTGCAACAACTCGAGGTAATGAATACCAATGCAGTCCAAGGTTGCCCAGCCCTTCATTAAAGCATGCCCTTTGTACATGGCCCCTCAGTCAGTGTTAGTGGACCTCGTTCTAGGAGCTGTTTGCCCCGGAGAAATAAATCTCTGAACACGGGCTGAGGGCTTGGCGGCAGGCCGAGATGATATTTTTGTCTCACAGGGCGTGCCGCTCTGCCATGGTCACCTCGGGACTTGATCATAAAGCTAGTGCTGAAGCGGTCTTCATATGGAGGAGGCCAGAGATACTCAGCCCCTGGGTGAGATTTTTCTCCCAGATGACCTGAAGACCCAACTGGCTATGGAGCACTCGGAGGGTAGGACTTGTACTGATAATTTGCACCTTCAAACACATGAACACACATGAACAAGGTCTGTGGAGCAGAAGGATAGAGATCTGAAGTACTGTCCTTCAAGTCGAACGCTGCAAGCAAACCTTGGGGAACCTTGTCCGTATTCGCCATATATACCACGCTGAGCCAACAATGATGTTCCTGGACCACTAAGGTGGACATCGCCAGACCGATCGCTATACATAGCCTGGCAAACCAGATCTACATCAAGATGTTAGGTCTGGGAACTCACAACTGGAATACCTCAATCGAAGGGGTGGGATAAACTGTTGTCTTTCTATACCCCCCTGCACGCAATAGTATAATAATAATAATAATAATAATAATAATTCATTACATTTATATAGCGCTTTCTATAGGGAATCTCCTCAACCACCACCAGTGTGCAGCATCCACCTGGATGATGCAACGGCTGCCATAGTGCGCCAGAACGCTCACCACACACCAGCTTACTGGTGGAGAGGAGACAGTGATGAAGCCAATTGGTATATATGGGGATGATTAGGAGGCCATGATGGACAGAGGCCACTAAGCAAATTTGTCCAGGATGCCGGGGTTACACCCCTACTCTTTCAAAAGACATCCTGGGATTTTTAATGACCACAGAGAGTCAGGACCTCGGTTTTAACGTCTCATTCGAAGGACGGTGCTCTTTGACAGTATAGTATCCCCATTACTATACTGGGGCATTAGGACCCACACAGACCACAGGGTGAGCACCCCCTGCTGGCGTCACTAACACCTCTTCCAGCAGCAACCAGGCTTTCTCAGAAGGTCTCCCATCCAGGTACTAACCAGGCTCAGCCCTGCTTAGCTTCAGTGGGCAACCAGTCTTGGGCTACAGGGTGATATGGCTGCTGGTATAACACTACAACCAACCAGAGCAACGAATGGCTGTGGCTGAGTGAGTCCCATGCATTTTCCCTCCAGCGGAGCTAGTTTATATATTAAACATTTGCCGTATCTGGTCGTCAAAACTCCGAACACATCTTCCTTTTTTTAAGAATGACTTAAGTGACGTTATCTTAACCACAAGTCCTCCGGAGTCGCGGTCAAAGCCAATTCGAAAGACCGCTGTTCACCAGCAGCATCTTGTTTGTTTTCAAGTAGTAGGGAAATCACCTATAGAAATCACGTGGAACAGTCACAACTATGGCGTCATTGTGTTAAGCCCACCCACCAACTCTATACACAATGTGATTGGTCTAACCAGAGTTTGGTTTTTCCACTTCGAAAGCCAACTGAGAGTTGTTAGACCACACTGTCTGCAAAATAATTGTTGCTGCCGCTAGGATGTGTCTAGATTTCTAGGCTAGACTATATGCCCATTATATCCAAACTATAAGCAATACTGCTGCATCAGCAAAAGAAAGAGTTGGCTTGGCAAAAAATAACAGACAGAGTAAATGCGCAAGTTTATAAAATACATGGCAAAATACATTTTACAACATGGCAAAATTATTTTGGCCATGTTGTAAAAATAGATAAGCATTTACTTTTTGCCCTCCATACATTTCTTAATATTACTGTAGTAATGTGCATATTTGGCCATAGTAATATAAACTATTGACTTCTCATTTTATAACTTTCTGGATCCAGAACAACTCTGAGTTAAAGGTGTAGTTCACTTTTGAAAAAAAAAAAAACTTTTGGTGATAATTTACTCACCCCCATGTCATCCAAAATGTCCATGTTATTCTTTCTTCAGTCAAAAAGAAATTAAGGTTTTTGATGAAAACATTCCAGCATTTTTCTCCATGTAATGTACTTCAGTGGGAACCAAATGGTTCAAGGCCCAAAAGACACTTTCAGTACTACTGCAACTGATCAAAGGGTTTTAAACAATTCCAGACGATGAATAAGGGTCTTATCAAGTGAAACGATCACTTAATATAATTTAATAAATCATCATTTAACGATCATTTAATAAATAAATAACAAAGTTTAAGTTTTATAAGCTCAAATGTTCGCCTTGCTCTTGTGACTCTCCTGTTTGAACTCGTTCATAAAATTAACAAATCTTTTTCCAGTCATTTAGTTCATTCAACGAACGAAACAAAC